TTGAGTTTGTTTGCTGGAGAAATTCAGTCCCCCGATGATCAATCCATTCGAAATATCATCCATTGTAACATTCTGTCAACAGCATTAATGACAAGTATCGTTTTACCGAAAATGTTAACACAGAATGGTGGATCAAATCCTGGCATCATCAACATTGCAACCTATGCTAGTATGAAAGCGTTTCCTTATGCTACAATATATGCCGCCACAAAAGCATTCATTATTCAATTTGCCAAATGTCTCGCTGCAGAAAATTATTCGACAAAGAACATAATTGTACAAACTGTTTGTCCAATATTTGTATCGACCAAGATGAATAATTTTAGGAAAATATCATATTTCACACCGACACCACAAGTATTTGCTAAAAGTGCTTTGGATATGTTTGGTGTAGACCAATTAACTACTGGTTATTTTCCTCAACAGTTGAAAGCATTTGTCTATGATTTATTGCCTACATCATTGTGGATTAAATTGATCGAAGGTATATTCGATCCCAGGAGAAAACGACGCAGAAAAGTTGAATGAAATGAATGTTGGTTGTTCGGATTTCTTCAAATTGTAAATTTGTTCGGATGAAACAATGGTCTTCTAGTTTCTTGATAGTTAATCAGTTGGTTGTTGAGTGAAATTAGTTTTTCGAATAAAGAAAGTTGTTAGCATTGTAAATGAGTACTTTTGTGTCTAGCCGTCGATTAGCTTTCATCTCACTTCTATCTGCGGCATTAGTTACTTCACAGATTTGTAACCGAATCATCTATGAAACGGGTGTTGCGATAACTGTTATGTTGAATTTTTAAACCGCGCTCTGAGTCTTTTAATTACGGTCTTAATAACTTACTTCCTACTCAATAGGCAGCACTCAAATATACCGTCAAGTAGGATAAATACCAGCGTGTCTTGTTTTCCAGATTTCATCATTGTTCGTTGGACTGTCTTCATCACAAAAAACGTCTGTCCACTTAAAATTCTTATTGGCAATAGGGATTGGACATTTTCTTACAGACAAGTTATTTCATTGCGTTTAATTTACTACTAAATTCTATTGGTTTGACAGTTCGATTTGTGTAGCTACAATGGGATCCAAATTGTGACGTCAATTAGTTGAGATGCACTGACATGTGATCTTCAGGAAATGAAATTGTTACTTCGATGTTAAATCAAGCTAATCGAAGCTGTCAGGAAACAGTTACGCACAACTATATAGTTAATTAATCGACTAAGTTTTATCATATTTTGAAAGACACTGTGAAGTAATATCAGTCAATCACTTTGTCGATTTCTCAACCAGTATGCAACCACGCGAAATTTGCTAGTTAGCATCCATCACAATACTACGACGATGTGTCATCCATATTGACAAATTTATCACATCAGTCTATAGTTAGTTATGAAGTGATTAAACATTAAATGTCAACCTTTCTCACTGTTATCTACGACCCGGGAACATGCCGATAAACTAACTCGCACTTAAAAACGTTTATCTTATCAAAATGGATAGCGAGTTTAAACAAATTGAAGTGAATATGTCAATATCTATCCAAATGCACTTTGGAGTTATTGACAAGTGAATCGAGTTAGGATATGCAGTGTGACGTAACCTATGGGTTGTTTCCGAAAGAACTGGCCCAGGCAATCGGAATGCATGATAGGATCAGAATATATCCAATTCCAGAAAATAAGGGGAATGACGATAGTCAATATCTTACTTAGACTGCCAATAGGCGTTAAAAGATTATGCTTTGAACTGGTCTTGACTCCTCTGGACAATACAGTATTTCCAGTGTTGCTGTCATAACAAACTCACTTGTCGTTACCATTTCATTAAACACAATCGACTGTCCGAAATAACATCTTCAACCATGAAATCCCCATCATCTACTATACTGACCACTTACACCACTTCCCGTTCAGTGGTTAGACAAAGAAAAGAATCATCATTCACGGCTTTTGTGCTATGACGATGATCGGCCACCTCTGGAAAGGATAGATACTGTGGAGCAGTAATTGTGTCAATCTTTCAATCATAACTTTTCTCCACAAAAGCCTCTTGAATACAACTAACAATCTTCGACAACTCATGACTATCACTAACAGTACAATCTCCAGACAACTCGAACTGAATCATCTGAAAATGGACGTTTAATTTTTCCCAAAATGTATATTTGAACACTGAATATTCAACCAGTAATCATAATATTCACAGTCACTCAAATTGTTTCTTCCAATCAGTCATTTCAGTGTGCACATTTTTAATTTGAGCGCGAAAGACAATTGGGTCGTTTGACAAACATATACGTAGAAAGACATTTTTTATTGTTTAACTAACTAAATTGAATGTTTAACAGAAATTTGTTGCGATTGAACACGTGATTTTCAGCATGACATCTCTATCAATCACTCAATCTCTCACACAACTCAACTCTCAAATCAATTTTCGTCAATTCATTCACAGACAACGTGATTAGCAAAACAGAAAATAGTGTTCAAGAGTGAAGAGTGAAGAGTACGTAAGTTGTAATCTCAGTTTCATTTCATTGATCAATTATTATTTCTGATGAGAAGTAGTTGAACAGGATTTAAAGTTATCTGGTAGACGAAGTGTTCTTGCAATGTGACTTAACTGTCAGTAATATTAGGTATTCTGTGATGGTTGGAGTTATCTTTGGAGACAACTGCGAACAATGTTCAGATAATGTCAAGTTAACATCTGTCAATAACATCCTAAGATGAGGTCTACAGAACAAGTTACAAGTCATTTGTGGAGAAATTTGAGTGACTGAGTTTAGTCTGAAATCGGTGATGCAGGCGCGATTTGCGAGGATGAGAAACCTTATGAAGATATTGTTGAATTCAAGAGAGAAATGCGGAAAAACATATGAGCATGTGGACAGTAGAATTTCATAGTTTTCATTGTCAGCTGATATTCATCTTATTTGTGGTGTCAAGTTTATTCGAAACATTTCAATTACATTCTCCCTTTCCACTTCACCATCTAGATTATGATATCTGGTGTAACCTGCATCATAGAGAATTGGTGGTCACTGTTCCAAACACTGATCATCGGCTGGATAACTTTCAAACTCCTACAACTACTCTTCATCTACTTAAAATACACTGTCGGTATTTATTATTTCTCAAAACGAAAATCACTACGAAAAGCTGGTGAATGGGCAATCGTAACTGGTGCATCAGCAGGAATTGGTGAGGCGTATGCAGAAGAACTAGCAAGTGAGGGTCTCAATCTCATGTTGATTAGTAATGATGAACAACAATTGCAGTCGGTTGCTGATCGAATATCTCGTGAGTACAATGTGAAAACACGAATTGTTGTAGCAGATTTCACAAAAGTAAGATGCATGCATTTCCGTTTGATTTGTTGATCAAATTATTGTGAAACTGTTCTTATTGAGTAGTGGGTAATGAGGTTGATCTCGCTAGTATACACTGTAGTAGTGTTTAAATAGATTTTGAGAAGTTCTGCAGCACTTGGATTTTTCGAGACCACATGAGGGTTAGTTTTCATGTTACAGATATACTGTTTTATTGTTCAGTGTGTAAATGAAATAACTTGAGTTGAAACTCATTCATTTACAATATCAGTTACGTTCTGTTCAAACACACTGGAAGAGTAACATCCTACTCTGTTAATGTTCTCAAATATCTGATTAATTGTTGTAATTATATATATCAGTTTACTCTGAACAGTTGTCTAATCTCAAGAGAATCAGGATGTTGCACTTACACTGTCGACCGCGTGTGTGCAGCTATATATTTGATCAGTTCAATGTTCAAACCCCAGTAGACGGAATCTATTGATTCACCTGTGCAATTCTTATAAATGATGAATGTTAATACAGTCGTACAATACTGATGTGAATCATATTTGAGAGGAGAAGTGGAACCTTGTCACCGACTCGCGATTATTCACTTTGATTAGTCTAGTTTAAGACGATGTAAACATTTGTTGTTTAGAATAAGTTTTAAGCTCAACCAAAACTTCACAGTGCATCTGATTAGTAAGTCGTCAACAACTGTAAACAGCTTGTCATTTATTCAAAATAGGCAGTCAGCACAAATCACCATTCACTCAACATTCACACCAGCATCAATCATAAAATCTTACTCACTCTCTCCTTATTCATCCATTTTCATCAGGATAATTTTCACCAAATCATCAAACCGCAAGTTGAACAACTATCCACTATCGCCTGTTTAGTCAATAATGTCGGTATGCAATTACCACTGACATTCTTTGCTGGACAAATTGATTCACCCAACGAACAATCCATCACAAATATCATACATTGTAATGCTCTGTCAACAGCAACTATGACACATTTAGTTCTACCAAAAATGTTAACACAGAACACACCTAATCCTGGCATTATCAATATCGCCTCATATTCTGCACTCAGAACTACTCCCTATTTGGCAATGTATACCGCGACCAAAGCATTCATTATTCAATTTGCCAAATGTCTTGCTGCTGAAAAATATGCCAAAAATGATATTATCATACAAACATTGTGTCCATTGATTGTTTGCACTAAAATGACTCGGAATGAGAAATTATCCATTTTAAATCCAACAGCTAAACAGTTTGCTAAAAGTGCATTAGATATGTTCGGTGTTGTCCAGCTAACCACTGGTTCTATTCGTCATGAATTGAAAGCCTATCTTTTTAATTTATTACCAACACCTGTATGGATATTGTTGACAGCGTCCAGGGTGAATGCACGTAAGAAATCTGTTTGAGGTGAAGAATCATTGTTGACAGAATCAATCAATAAATCAACACGTTATCATTGACCACTGGTGAAATCACAAACTGATCAGCATGGATCATTTCTGCTTTTTAATGATTTTGAAATGTGCGCAATTGAAATGTGACTTTGTTTTAATCAATTAACCAGTTGATATACACATTTTTTCAAGAAAATTTTGATTAGTTCCGTTATTATTTTTATTTTGGAATGATTTTGATTAAAATGAATATTAGGATTGTTCAATTTTCAAATCAGTAAAACTGTTTACAAATTAGTCAACTAACACTTTGTTATTCAATGATCATGACATTAATATACTACATAAACTATTTTATGAGGTTTAACATAACAATCTTCACCATTCCGTAGTGCAAATTACCTGTGCTCACTAGTCACTAGCTTAGTGAGAAATCTTCTCCTAGTTCTAGTTGGAAGAGGTGACCAATGAAGTTCACTCTGTTCGGGTGTAGACAGTAACTATCGAAGACTGTGTATGCGGTCGCGCAACTCCGTGAATTGATCAAGTTAGACATTAACACCGTTAGATACCGGCTCACTGGTCCGATGTTTAGGCGTTCGCGCACAATACTGAAGGTCCTTACTTCGAATCCTGCGAGGTGCAGGATTCGTGGATGCGCACTGCTGAGGAGTGCCATACCAGAACGAAACGGCCGTCCAGTGCTTCCCAGGTTTCTAATCTTGGTCTAAAATTGATCGGTTCATGGTCTCAAAAATGTGTAACTTAACAATCTTCACAACTCCGTAATGCAAGTCAACTTAATTACTTACTTACTTACATACCGAATCGCTTTCGCTTGTTACTCGTTCGTACAGAATAAGCTACCGAGAAGAATTCTCGAAAATATTGATATTATTTTCATGGGGCATTCTGAATGTTAGAATAATGTTGGGAATGTTAGATCCCCCACCAGGAAAATCCATGGCTGTGATTGGCTGCTGTGTATCCTAGAGTGCTATTTTTGTACCTGTCCCAAGGACGTTTCTCTGATGTATAAATAAACGAGAGTTGTGTGTTGCTTGATTCTATTATGATTGCTGGTTGTTTGTAGAATATACTTTCTACGCTTACCAAGACTTCTGTTTTACAGTTCGGGATTCAAGGTAGCCTACCTGAACACTGGTAATTATCTCGTTCACGTTTATCGACTACGGTGAACTCGTAATAGCTTCAGGAGTACCTATTGACGAACATAACAAAGAAATAGGATACGAAGCTCTAACTATAATATCTAAAGATAATTGATTGATCAAAACTTAAAGATATCGTGAAAATTTCAACATTATTAACTTTGGAATCTCTAAACAAATCATTTACAAATCACCTGAATCGTCATTCTACCGCCTTGTTGTATCATTCAACCGGATACCAATCAAACCACTTCCCATTATCAATACAGTACATTTCAACACAAATTATACAGTGCGAAATTCTGTTTCAGTTTACATATTGTGAAAAAATTCTGTTATTAGCTATTAGTATTGGGTGTTCTTTGACACAAAACCTAAACTATACAACATCTTAATTTTTAGCTTCTTATATACATGTTTAGTATGCTGATTATTTGCCTGTATAAACTGAGGAAGTGTGACTGTACTTCACTGTTCACAACCAACGTTATTGGATGTCATTCATTTCAGTTTCAATGTAGTAGTTGACAAACTCATGATGTAATGTAATTTACGAGGTTGGAAATTGTCTAGAATCAACTATACAGATATCTGTAAGTAATTATGAGATTCAAGCATTAATCACCTTAGGAATATGAGCACGTTTATCTGAAGTGTGTTACTTGAGCCTTCCAGCTGAATATAGTTACTGTGGCCGAAGGTCCTGTTAGGATATCCATCCAGTATCCTAAGAGAATTATTTTTCAGTCTTGCTCTATTGATCACTTCCTATTGGTTATCCTAACTTTCAGTGTCACAGACTTCAATGTTGTTTTCTATTCCACCTAAATGTTTAAATATGCATGATCTGTAACGTTTTAGGACCCAGACACGGCTCCTTAGTCCAGTATCCTTTTCCTCTTATGGACTAAGACCTCGTACTTTATGGATGCCTCTAGAATACATGTTCTACTTCATATCAAGTCTTCTTCTTTTACTCAATGGGGATTTGAGACAATCGGATAAGAGTTGCCTGTTGTGTCACCGGATCCTCGATCCTCGCTCTCGTTTACTGACTAAAGTAAACTCGTAATAGTTTCAGTCACATCAAACGACGTTCTTACTTTGCGTGCATAACAATTGGCGATGGGGACAAGTTCACACTGATCCTTCGAGACTTGAATTAGTAGCCGAGCAGCAGCTGAACCAATGAAGATGTTGATCGATTAGCTCATCGCATGCTCAATCCTGTTCGTTTATCCAATCGCTTACTCGATGCTGAATCCAGTCCGTCGTTTTGTGCATAGCGTCGAAAGTAACATCAGAACGCCTGTGACATGAGATTACAGACAGAGTTATAATTTCCTTGCTTCAGAAGAATTTAGCTTCAAATTGGTATCTACGAGACAGTACTGTATCAAAAATGTTAACACCTAGTTTTTTAAACATGTGATTTTTTCTCAGAATGACATAAACGAAACACAAAGTATTTCTGATATCATACTGTCTAAAATTTGAACAAATTGGCTTTGTCACAAGTTGTGGATGAAACATTTTGTTGAGAGAAATTGAAAAAAAGATTGATTTTTAATGAGATTTTGACAAGATGACAGTTTTGGCAATTCGTTAGCTAATAATAGTGTATGGTGTATAGAGTAAGCAATGAACTACATAAGTGATCAATGACTTGTTATCAGTGAATAATTTTTGAGGTTATATTTAAGATTCTGGGCTTCATTTGACACCGATATATGAAGTTAGTTGAAGTAGAATACAGTTTTCAAATGTTTATCAGTTAATTGTATCAATAATGTAGTTATTGAAAGCGGAGTTGTATATCTGTTGTATGAATGTGAGTTGGTGCTTATCAATACCACCCAACAGTTCTATGCAGAGTGGTGGTTTGCTTAGCGACTACAATCTACAAACAAGAATTGACTTACTGGAACTGTTCTTTTTGAACAGTGACATCATGAACTAACTGTCCATATGAGGAAGATCTGATTATTAGTTTCATGTTCTGTAAACTAAATGAATAGAAACTGTATTTTGAGAAAGAAAGTGGATGAAATTGATTTCCGAGAATTTGTGGCAATGCTCTTCGAATGTGAATTGACATTGTTCGTTGTGCAAGGTAGGACATAGTTGACTAATTAACTATACAGTTGTAAAGAACTATTTCGTGACAGCTTTCATCAGCTCCATTTAACATCGAAATAACGATTTCATTTTCTTGACGATCAGTTTTCCATGTATCTCAATTAATTGACGCCACAATTTGGTTCTCACTGTAGCTACGCAATTCGGACGATCAAAGCAATAGAGCATAATAGTCAGTCAGTCAGGCAGATGCAACGTAGAACTTCGTACGTAAGTACATCAGTTCATGTTGCCATATCACATTATTAGCACAGCGAGATGTAATCGTCAATTCAAATCCCATAATAGTAGTAGAGGTAGTAAAGGTATTAGAAATAATCGGAGAGGTTATATGATTAGAAAATATTATTCAAGAAGTATGATTCAATGAGAAAAGTTTAGAAAGTCAAAACTAGAGGTGTTGAAGAATCCAGAAGATTAGGATTTGACAGAACACAAAGAATAAATGCACCGGCGCCATTGCAAACGATTTTGAGCCATGTCATTCAGGGTATCTAACCATCGATTATTATCATCTCGCGGACCCCAACCAGGTACTCGACAATTACCGACATGGCTAAGTTCACTTGTCAATAACTTCTTGGATTTGTGCCATGTTTTGGTTTGGCCACCCCTAACTTTCTTCCAACCTATTCCTACACTACAAAACAAAGCTCGTCGCGGCAGTCGGGGGTTAGGCATACGCAACACATGTCCCAACCACCTCAACTCATGAAGTTTCAGCACTTCATCTATTGATCTGCCATTCTTACCTAGCACCCGTTTCCTAATAACAGCGTTGCTCACTCGGGTGTCCCAGGAAGAACGTAATAGTAATTTAAACGCGATGAAATAACTTATCTGTAAGAAAATGTCCTATCCCTATTTCAAATGAACAGAAGCTTATTAAGAAGACGAATGTCAACAAACAATGATCTCTGTAAAACAAGACATGTTGGTGTTGATCCTACATGACGATATCTTTGAATGCTGCTTATTGAATTAGGAAGTAAGTTGTTGATACCCTAAGTATAAACACACAAGAGCCTGATTTAAGAACTTAGGATAACAGTTATCGCAACATCCGTTTCATAAGTGATTCGGTTAAAAATCTTATGTGATTACATGGTGAAGTGAAAACGAAAAATCGATGACCGAAAAGGAAACAAAACTACACATTTTACAAACTGGACAAGTTTGTGTATTTCCAAAAATTAATATTTTACTGAATAAACAAACACTTGTTTAGTTATGTCGAGCTGAATTCACCAAAAACGTGTATGATATCGATTGAATCTAATCAGATTTTCGCAATCTGACGATATGTTAACACATTTTCATGTCAATCAGCCTTGCTGTTGTTCTTGTTATGGTGTTTTTGTCTCTTCGGATCAAATAATCTTTCGATCAATTTCACCCATAATGTGGTTGGTATTAAATTATAAACTAGTGCTTTCAGCTCATGTGGAAAATAACCACAGGTTATTGCTTCAACACCAAACATATCCAAGGCACTTTTAGCAAACACTCGTGGTGTCGGTGTGAAATATGATGTTTTGACATAATTCACTAATTTTGTTGAGATAAATAATGGATACAATGTTTGTATGATAATTTTCTTTGGATATTTTTCAGCGGCAAGACATTTGGAAAATTGTATAATGAATGCTTTTGTCGCGGAATACATGCTAATAAATGGAAATGCTTTACAACCTGTATATGAACCAATATTGATTATGCCAGGATTTGATTCACCATTCTGTGTTAACATTTTCGGTAAAACGATACTTGTCATCAATGTCGTTGATAAAGTGTTACAATGAATAATATTTCTAATGGACTGTTCATCCGGGGACTCAATTTCTCCGGCAAATAATCCATAAGGTAATATCATTCCAACATTATTGACTAGACAAGCAATTGTGGTTAATTTGTCAATTTCAGGTTTGATTATTTTAGGGAAATCATCCTAAAGGAGAGAGCGGGAAAGAGAGAGAAAGAGAATGAGATTGATCAGAGTGGATTGTTTGAAAGTTTCGTAAAGAATTTTAGTATGTTTCCCTGAAATTCTCATTCTCATGTCTTTACACTTTTCTAAAATACATGAAACTGAAAATCAAGTACCAACCATGAATCGATCAATGTTAGACCAGCATTAAAAACCTGGGAGCACTGGACGGCTGTTTCGTCCTGGTATGGGACTCCTCATCAGTGAAGTTCAACCTGTTCGGGTGAAGGTTATAACTATCGAAGACTGTGTATGAGGTTGCACTACTCTGTGAATTGATCAAGTTAGACATTAACACCGTTAAATCCCGGTTCACTGGTCCGATGGTTAGGCGTCCGCCTACAATACCGAAGGTCCTAGGTTCGGATCCTGCGAGGTGCAGTTGTGGATGCGCACTGCTGAGGAGTGCCATACCAGAATGAAACGGCCGTTTTTCAGTGCTTCCAGGTTTCTAATGGTGGTCTAACACTGATCCATTCATGGTTTCAAATAAAACTTAACGATCTTCACAATAACCCCGTAATGCAAGTACCAATCTTCCACTATCGATATTGGAGAAAACAGGCAAATATTGTTTGTCAATAGGTGTTGTAATCAGTCAACTCAAACGCTTGTATTTTATTCTGCTAAAAAGAAAAGTGTTCACATCACTTCAGATCATTTAGAGGCACATCAAATGATTTCATCCTGAGACAGACAGAGACTAAAAGCAGTCATAGCGAAAACATACTACCTTGCTAAACTGATTATCATTGAAAAGACTAAGCCCATGATTCCACGTAGGCCTGGACATTGCACGAACGATTACATCACAACCCATTACAAATATCAATATACATGTTTGTATGGACACGTATACATTGCAGTCAAAGTGTATGGAACATGTACGTAAGTGGCTTTAGAATCGGTTAACGTCCGAATGACCCGATAAACGTAGGAGATAGAAAATCAACGTTTTAAGTGTACAGAAACAATTTGTTACAATCTTGAATTTACCCTGGTAGTCTTTAAGCCATTTTAGGGGGTTATGTGACCATTTCCTAGCCTTGCTTATTCTTTCAACATTACGTTAATTTTCTCTCTCCTTCATTTACAATTGTCATCACCTTATGTCTAGTTGAACTTTTATTGAATTGACCTTGACAGAAATAACGCATCACAACACTGTGAAGATCAACCGAGTCTTTTCAATGTTCTATTAAAATTTATTAAAAAAAGGACTAATTATTGAGATCGTGGAGTAATTTTGTAGCTCAGATGAATGATTATGGTGGAGTTTCGTTCTCTAAGCTAGATGTTTGAGTTGTGAAGCTTTCAATGTTCTTCTGTTGAACAACGTCATCAGTGAACTGAATGTTGTATGGTTTTATCTTACACATCGGGTTTCCTTTGATGTGGATTTTGATTATGTGATTCAGAAGGCAACATTTACTCTACTAACAATCGATAACATCATTTGGAGGGTAAACTTCTCTAAATCAAACTCAATACTCATTTCAATCATGACTGTTTCAAAATAATCTGATCGAAAAATCAATCAGAAATGCATGCATCTTACTTTTGTGAAATCTGCTACAACAATTCGTGTTTTCACATTGTACTCACGAGATATTCGATCAGCAACTGACTGCAATTGTTGTTCATCATTACTAATCAACATGAGATTGAGACCCTCACTAGCAAGTTCTTCTGCATACGCCTCACCAATTCCTGCTGATGCACCAGTCACGATTGCCCATTCACCAGCTTTTCGTAGTGATTTTCGTTTTGAGAAATAATAAATGCCAACAGTGTATTTTAAGTAGATTGTGAGTAGTTGTAGTAGTTTGAAAATTATCCAACTGACGATCAGTGTTTGGAACAGTGACCACCAATTCTCTATGATGCAGTTAACACCAGATGTCATAATCTAGACGGTGAAGAAGAAAATTGGAGATGAATTGACATCACTGATTAAAATGACGTGATCATGATGTTTTCAGTGCGCTGAATCACATTTCACCCGTGAATATCTGATAGAAGTGAATCACTTCACAGCTTGTTCCCTCAAACTCATATTCATCATTCTGCAGTCAAACGTAAACCTGACATTGCCTGTATGACAGTTGCTAATATTACTTACTTACTTACTTACGCCTGATAAACCCCAATGGAGCATAGGCCACCCACCAATTTTCTCCAACCAACTCTTTCCTGGGCTTCCCTCTACAGCTGTGTCCAATGTTTGTTCATTCTTCTCATATCTTTCTCTATTTCTCGGCCGAATGTGTTCCTTGGCCTTCCCCTTTTCCTTTTACCTTGAGAGTTCCATCTGAGGGCTTGTGTCGTGACGCAGTTAGGTGCCTTTCTCAATGTGTGTCCTATCCACCATCTCCAGCGCTTCTTCTTGATTTCCTCCTCCACTGGAATCTGGTTTGTTCTCTCCCACAGTAAGTTGTTTCTAATGGTGTCTGGCCAACGAATCCGAAGTATTTTACATAGACAACTGTTAATAAACACTTGTATCTTGTGGATGATGGGGCTTTCGTAGTTCTCCAAGTTTCCACTCCATACAGTAGAACTGTCTTGACATTTGTATTGAAATTCCTGATTTTGGTTTTGGTTGAAAGTTGTTTGGATTTCCAGATATTTTTCAACTGTAGAAATGCAGCCCTTGCTTTACCGATCCGCGCCCCCACATCTGCATCGGATCCACCTTTCTCGTCGATGATGCTGCCCAGATATGTAAAGGTGTTAACGTCCTCCAGGGCATCTCCATCAGTAGTGAGTTGGCTGGTGCATGTTGTATTGCATCCGAGAAATTCGCTTTTTCCTTTATGTATGTTGAGACTTACTGCTGCAGACGCTGCTGCTACACCGGTCGTCTTCTCTTGCATTTGTTGTTGCGTGTCCGATAGAAGAGCCAGGTCATCTGCGAAGTCCGGATCGTCCAGCTGCGTCACAAGTTGCCTCAGTTTCATTTTGAACATTATTGTACGACTTTTCTTTTTGGTTTGTTTCAGATTGTTTTAAATGATATTTTTGGTTCGCGCGTTACATCTATTTCAAATAGCCGACTATCATAATCTGATATCTTTTCAACACTTGATCAGACAATCCATTTTGTTGGTTTCGATGTTGAAAATATTTTATTCCAGTTAGATATCGACTATGATCACTTGAGATGTAGCCTGACAAGACAAGTTGTCAGTCATGTGTCGATCAGTTTAAACATCTCATATATACTTACAGTATGTGGTGACGTTGTAGAGAATCGAAAATCCGCTGTAAGCTTCCATCTCTCTAGAATTTCAATAATTTGAGTATTAAGAATTTGCTATATGAGTCGTGCTCACCATCTCATGGATGCTCAATACCAAGGTGACTTACACCAGAACGAAATGCTGTGTCCACTACATTCAGCTACTCAGTCAATGGTGATCAAATCAAGATTGATTTTCATTCAACTTCATCCAACTTCACGAAGTATGTGACAAATTCACTTGTTGTGAGTGAAACGAATCACAAAATGAAACTACCGATACAAAACATGGCTGCGATACTCCTCTTCAATCTTAGAAATATCAGGTTGTTCGAAGCAGGGTTTATTCAAGTCAGTGTGTTAGGAAATCAGTACCAGCATAGTACAGATAAATTCAACTCATACTGAATCCCACCACCGAACACAATCCAAAATACACAACATCATATTAACAAACATTGATCAAACTTCAATTCGAAAGATCATCAGCATGTTAAAATAAACTATCATAGATAACCGATTACACTGACAGTCAAGTCGTCTACCAGAAACGCTCAACCTTGTTAGGAGTCTTATCATCAGACATGAATGTTCAATAATGAAAATAAGATTACAACTTACTATTCAGACTTCACTCTTGAACACAATTTTATCTTTCTGTAATCAAGTTGTCTGTGAAATGATACTGCGTAAAATGCAAGAGAAAATGATTTCAGATGTGAATGCAAGAAATTGACAGCGATGACATGCTGCGAATCACATGTTCCCAATGCTTTTACATATATTTGTCGAATACGATGGAATGTAAAACATGTGAATTAGTGCAAATTTAGGTACTTCTACATATATATATATATAAATATATATATACATCTGTCAAACAAACAACTTTGCCTTCTTCTGAAATCAAACTGTGCACAATGAAATGATTGGAAACGCACAAACACAATTAGATTGTGTGTGGTTATATGACTTTTTAATTGCCAAAATCAATGTAATCCTCATGTTTGCAACTGTGGATATTGATCGTTTGAAGAGTAAACCAAGGAGAAACTTGTCTGCCAACAGCCTCTGTCGTCACCATCTTTCTTTCGCTGTGTAAACCGACCCTCCCTTCTTCAGTTTGATTGTAATATTTGTGATTGATTGAGAACGTTGAAGGCAATAACTTGCTTAAAACTATTTGATAAACTGAACATTTTGGATTCTATATTGAATGAAACTAAAAATGATTCAAGCTGTAAGTAAATCAGATGATTTTTTTGTGTGCTTCTTATACTACTTAAATACTGAACTTTATCAACTCTACTGTTGGTATTGTTTTATGGCGTGAGTTTCAAATAACATTGCGATGATTGCTGAATCAAGAAATATATCGAACTGATGCTAGACTGCGAAATACCAACTGTTCATAATTAAATCATCAAAACATTGAAATCAGTTTGTACATTGTGTTTTCGCGTATTACTTAAATGACTAAGTTAGTAGTATTATGAGTCAAATGACAAATTAAAGTTGATTTTCTAAATTCTATTTACATAAACCGAAGGACTAGTTTTAAGTACAAAGACGAAACACAGTTGGATTACAAGATATATCCAACTGTAAAAGCAAAGAAGTCAGTGGCTCTGTACTCTCACATATACACCTCCAGTCTTCAGTACACTCTGATTGCGCCATACATTTCTATCTTGAGGCACTTCTTGCTGCACATACTACTTACAAGGCATCATTAGAGTAGCATCCTCCACACTACAACATTCATTCACTAATCCACTGAATCAAAATATCCTGAAATTTTACTATTTCATTAGTCTGTTTAATTACTACAATAAAAGGCGTGAATTAAAAGATATGTTGGTGAATAGTCAGTCATGTAGAAGCTTGACGCTAATTTAAAATTGACTATAATTCATCTTAGAAACTTGTCAAGTGTTTTTGTTGAAATCACCAAGGATAGAGCTATCTTATTCGAAGATGAAATGATTCATATTGTGAGTTTAACTGTATCGACCTGAATTTGGTTGAATCGACTTATTGTACGATTTTCTCGCTGGGGTATCTGATGTAAATGTGAAGACCTGTGGATAAGCAAAGCCGGGGCAGTACCACTACAATAAAAAACAACGATCCACCAACACCAAAGTGACGATTTCGACTACAAATGTCAAGATAGTTCTGTTGTATGGAGCGGAAACTTGGAGATCCGCAAAAGATATCACCGACAGGATACAAGTGTCTGTAAACAGTTGTCTACACAGTATACTGAGGATCTGTTTGGTCAAACATCATCAGTAACAATCTACTGTGTAGGGTGAACAAACAAGATTCCGACTGTGGTGGAAAATGATAGTACAGATATATCGGGAATCAATAAACTGCGTCACGAGTCAAGTACTAAATTAGAACATTCGAGACCAGACGAAGAAATAAGAAGATCAAAGAACGCATTGAGTCGAGAATTGGCGACAGTCATCAAACGAATGAATAGTACATGAGGATGATTGAACAGGTTATATCACGATTGGATACGTTGGAAAAATCTTGTCGGTGGCCTATGCTGTACGAAAGAAAACGGCGAAATCGATTCGGTAAGTAAGTAAGTAAGTAAGTAAGTAAGTAAGTAAGTAAGTAAGTAAGTAAGTAAGTAAGTAAGTAAGTAAGTAAGTAACTTTTTCACTCAATAATTTATTTCACATGTCAGGTTATTTGACGTTGTATACAAAGTGTTATTTGACTGATTTATAAAAAGTTTTACTGATTTGAAAATTGAACAATCCTAATATTACAATTAACATCTAATTCCCTTTTTAATCGAAATCATTTCAAAATAAAAATAATGTCGGAATCAATCAAAATTTCTTGAAAAAAATGTATATCAACTGGTTAATTGATTAAAACAACGAACATTTTTCTAATTGCTCACATTTCAAAATCATGAAAAGAATAAATGATCGATAGTGATCAGTTTGTGATTTCACCAGTGGTCCATGATCAGTTATTGATTTATTGTTTGATTCTGTCAACAATGTTTCACCTCAGACAGATTTCTTGCGTGCATTCACCCTGGACTCTGTCAACAATATCCATACAGGGGTTGGTAATAAATTGAAAAGATAGGCTTTCAATTCATGACGAATAGAACCAGTGGTTAGCTGGACAACACCGAACATATCCAATGCACTTTTAGCAAACTGTTTAGCTGTTGGATTTAAAATGGATAATTTCTCATTGCTAGTCATTTTAGTGTAAACAATCAATGGACACAATGTTTGTATGATAATATCATTTTTGGTATATTTCTCAGCAGTAAGACATTTGGCAAATTGAATAATGAATGCTTTGGTCGCGGTATACATTGCCAAATAGGGAGTAGTTCTGAGTGCAGAATATGAGGCGATGTTGATAATGCCAGGATTCGATCCATTCTGTGTTAACATTTTCGGTAGAACTAAATGTGTCATTGTTGCTGTTGACAGAGCATTACAATGTATGATATTTGTGATGGATTGTTCGTTGGGTGAATCAATTTGTCCAGCAAAGAATGTCAACGGTAATTGCATACCAACATTATTGACTAAACAGGCGATTGTGGATAGTTGTTCAACTTCTGGTTTGATGATTTGGTGAAAATTATCCTGATGAAAATGGATGAAGTAAGAGAGTGAGTAAGATGATGGTGTGAATGTTTAGTGTATGGTGATTTGTGCTGACTGCCTATTTTGATTAAATGGCAAGCTGTTAACAGTTTTTGACAGATGCACTGTGAAGTTTTGGTTGAGCTTAAAACTGATTCTAAACAAGAATTATTTTCATCATCTGAAACTAGACTGATCAAAGTGAATAATCGCGAGTGTGCGGCAACAATCCACTTCTCCTGTCATATATGATTCACATCAATAGTGTGCAACCGAAATCAAAATCAAAATTTGTGTAAATTGCCCAGAACTTTCAACGGATTCTTACTACTAAGATTTGATCATTAAACCTACACGATTAAACCGAACTGACTGGTACACATTCTCGTCTAAAACATCGGTATAGATTAATGAGAATTCTGATAACGTGAATCAAAAGTCAGAATGTACTCGACTAACAATCGATAACATCATTCGGACAACCGTTGAAGGTTAAACGTCCCTAAATCGATTCAAATACTGCGGTGAATACTAGTCAGATCAATTTCACTACTCAGTACTCAATCATAACAATTTCAAAAAAATTTGATGAACAAAGTAATCGGAAATGCATTCATCTTACTTTTGTGAAATCTGCTACAACAATTCGTGTTTTCACATTGTACTCGTGAGATATTCGATCTGCAACAGACTTCAGTTGTTGTTCATCATTACTGATTAGCATGAGATTGAGACCCTCCTTAGCAAGTTCTTCTGCATACGCCTCACCAATTCCTGCTGATGCACCAGTCACGATTGCCCATTCACCAGCTTTTCTTAGTGATTTTCGTTTTGAGAAATAATGAATGCCGACAGTGTATTTTAAGTAGATGAAGAGTAGTTGTAGTAGTTTGAAAATTATCCAACTGACGATCAGTGTTTGGAACAATGAGCACCAATTCTCTATGATGCAGGTCACACCAGATATCATAATCTAGATGGTGAAGTGGAAAGGGAGAATGTAATTGAAATGTTTCGAATAAACTTGACACCACAAATAAGATGAATATCAGCTGACAATGAAAACTATGAAATTCTACCCTCCACATGCTCATCTATTTTTCGGCATTTCTCTCTTGATTTCAACAATATCTTCATAAGGTATTTCATTCTCTTAAATCGCGCCTGCATCACAAATTTCAGAATGAACTCAGTTACTCAAATTTCTCCACAAACGACTTGCAACTTGTTCTGTCGACCTCATCTTAGGAGGTTATAGACAGATGATTACTTGAGATTGTCTGAACATTGTTTGCAGTTGTCTTTAAATATAACATCAACGATCATAGATAGCCCATTACACTAAGAATTACGTCACATTGCAAGAACTCTTCTTCTACCAGATAATGTTGAATCCTGTTCAACTACTTATCATCAGAAATAATAATTGATCAATGAAATGAAAATGAGATTACAACTTACTATTCACTCTTCACTCTTGAACACCGTCTTTCGTTTTGCTAATCACGTTGTCTGTGAATGAATTGACAAAATATGATTTGAGAGTTGAGTTGTGTGAGAGATAGAGTGATTGATAGAGATGACATGCTGCAAATCACGTGTTCAATCGCAACAAATTTCTGTTAAACATTCAATTTAGTTAGTTAAACAATAAAAAATGTCTTTCTACGCATATGTTTGTCAAACGACCCAATTGTCTTTCGCGCTCAAATTAAAAATGTGCACACTGAAATGACTGATTTGAAGAAACAATTTGAGTGATTGTGAATATTATGATTACTGGTTGAACATTAAGTAGTCAAAAATATTTTTTGAAAATAAAACGACCATGGATTGTGCTGTCATAGAATGTTGTGAAGAGAATGGAAATTGACCTCGGCTAAACACAAAAGTATTTATTTACAAAATCGACGATCTTCTTTTTATCTTTCGATCAATTTCTCCGAACAAACAACGGAATAGTTATCTTGAAACTAAAAGACAAATTGTATTATTAGAAAAGAATTAAAAATTTTAAGAAATTTGAACAACCTATATTCATTCATTTTATACAACATTTCTGTGTTGATTTCCTCTTTGCATTGAACAAGTTTTCGATCAGTTTTAGCCACACTGATGTAGTTGTCAATGAATTGTAAACGAATGCTTACAAGTTTATCTGAAGTGTGTGCCCATTGCTTGTGTTCAATGAAAGATAGTTATTGGAGATGAGAGGCTCTTAGGGAGAAGAGTTATACACGAAAGCATAACACAATTACTGCTGCACAGGATCTGTCCTGTACACTGACGGCTGATCATCGATGTACCACATAGCTGTGCTTGACCATTCCTTTCTGTGTTGGGCGTCATCGACAGTGATCCTAGAAAGGCATCAACATTAGACTACAGAAGCAGCTGTACTAATGAAGATGTTTATGGATACCAAGCTGTATCGTGACTCGACTATGGTGGATCAAGTTAATCTGATGTTGTGTGATGTGAGAAGAGAAGAGGTAAATAAGAAAGTTCGACACAACTACTGGTTCGGAGGATCTGTCCTGTCCACAAAATGGCCGATCATCGTTAGAGCACATAGCAGCGATTGACATTTCCTTTTTTGTTGATAGTTTCCCTGAACACAGACTGAATGATCAGTGGTTTTAATTGTCAATCACATTTGCATTCTCTTGGAATATATGTGCTATGGGTGTCGTTTTTTGCTAATGAAACTCTAGTCATGTTGTTGGATGAATCTCGTTATGTAGGATAACACATGTCAAATTATTTGTTCTGATTATCATTTTCTGAGGAAATTGTTTTTGTAGTGGGACGGATTAGCTCATCACATGCTCAATCCTGTTCGTTTATCCAATCGCTTACTCGATGCTGAATCCAGTCCGCCTTTTTGTGTATAGCGTCGAAAGTAACGTCAGAACGCCTGTGACATGAGATTACAGACAGAGTTATCATTTCATTGCTTCAGAAGAATTTAGCTTCAAATTGGTATCTACGAGACAGTACTGAATCAAAAATGTTAACACCTAGTTTTTTAAACATGTGATTTTTTCTCAGAATGACATAAATGAAACACAAAGTATTTCTGACATTATACTGTCTAAAATTTGAACAAATTGGCTTTGTCACAAGTTGTGGATGAAACATTTTGTTGAGAGAAATTGAAAAAAAGATTGATTTTTAGTGAGATTTCGACATGATGACAATTTCGGCAATTCGTTAGCTAACAGTATGCGGTGTGTAGAGTAAGATCAGAACCAAATAAGTGATCGATGACTTGTCATCAGTGAATAATGTTTGAGTTTAGATTCGAGAATATATTCCTTGTTAGATTTAGACATGATTTTGGGCTTCATTTGACACTGATATATGAAGTTCGATGAAGTAGAATACAATTTTCAAATGTTCATCAGTTAATTGTATCAGCAAAGTGGTCATTGAAAGCGAAGTTGAGTATCTGTTGTGTGAATGTAAGTGGATGCCTTTCGGTCGCATTCAACTGCTAGACGCAGAGTGGTGGTTTGTTTAGCGATTACAATCTGCAAACAAGAATTGACTTATTTGAACTGTTCTATTTCAGCAGTGACATCATGAACTAACTGTTCATATCAGGAAGATCCGATTGTTAGTTTCATGTTCTGTCATCTAAATGCATAGAAACTGTTTTTTGAGAAAGAAAGTGGATGAAACTGATTTCCGAGTATTCGGGGAAATGCTGTTAGAGTGTGAATAATATTTTAATCTAACTGATGAACAGTATAAATGATTGAAATTTCTTCACTGTCTATTCAAAAATAAAATTAGATTATTGGTACAAGAATCATAGTGAAAATGTGAGTGTTTTTACATATTCACGAGTATCTCATTCGTGTAGTGATTATCTAAACTTGTGTTCATCTTGTGGTTTACCAAATTTCAACATACATCAATTCTTTGTAACGTTTGAGGCGAGAATAAAATGTCGTGTTAGAAATAAGGTTGATGTGAGACACCATTATCTTATGAGTAATTTACACTGTTCGTTGTGCAACATAGGATGTAGTTGACTAATTTACTATGTGGTTGTAAATAACTGTTTCGTGACAGCTTCTATCAGCATAATTTAACGTCGAAATAACAATTTTTATTTCCTGACGATCAGTTTTCCATGTATCTCAACTAATTTACACCACAATATAGATCCCATTGTAACTACGGAATTCGGACTATCAAACCGATAGAACGTGATAGTCAGTCAGTCAGTCAGATGCAACGTAGAACTTCGTACGTAAGTGCATCAGTTCATGTTGCCATACCACATTATTAGCACTGAGATATAACTGTCAATTCAAATCCTAGAGTAGAAGAGGTAGTAAAGGTATTAGAAGTAATCGGAGAGGTCAGGATTAGAAGATATTATTCAAGAAGTATGATTCAGTGAGAAAAGTTTAGAAGGTCAAAACTAGAGGTGTTGAAGAACCCAGAAGATTAGGATTTGAGGGAACACAAAGAATAAGTGCACCGGCGCCATTGCAAACGGTTTTGTGTCATGACATTCAGGGTCTCTAACCATCGATTTTTATCATCTCGCGGACCCCAACCAGGTAGTCGACAATTACCGACATGGCTAAGTTCACTTGTCAATGACTTCATGGATTTGTGGCATGTTTTGGTCCGGCCGCCCCTAACTTTCTTCCGACCTATTCCTACACTACAAAACAAAGCTCGTCGAGGCAGTCGGTGGTTAGGCAAACACAGAACATGTCACAATCATCTCAACTGATGAAGTTTCATTGCTTCATCTATTGATCTTCCATTCTTACCTAACACTCGTTCCCTAATAACAGCGTTGCTCACTCCGTTGTCCCAGGAAGAACGTAATAGTAACTTAAACGCGATGAAATAACTCGTTTGTAAGAAAATGTCCTACCCCTATTTCAATTGAACAGAAGTAGACAGTCAACGAACAATGATATCTGGAAAACAAGACACGCTGATGTTGATCCTACTTGATGATATCTTTGAGTGCTGCCTACTTTGCAGGAAGTAAGTTATTTAGGCCCTAACTAAACTTACTAGAGCCTGATTTAGGAGCCTGAATTTAGGATAGCAGTTATCGCAACATCCGCTTCATGAATGATTAGGTTAGAAATCTCTGGAGTGAATAGTTGTACGGATAGAAGTGAGGTGAACGGGAATTTATTGCTAATCGGAGAAGTACTTATCTACAAAGATAACAATTTTCTGTATGAATACACTGAGAACATTATTATTGTTATTAATAATTGAAAATCGTATAAGAATATGTGTTTTATTTGAAAAGATCAGAAATTTGACGAAACTTGAACAATCAACATTGATTTTATTCAACATTTCTGCGTTGTTTTCTCCTGGGATCGAATATACCTTCGATCAATTTGATCCACAATGATGTAGGCAATAAATCATAGATAAATGCTTTCAACTGTTGAGGAAAATAACCAGTGGTTAATTGGTCTATACCAAACATATCCAAAGCATGTTTTGCAAATACTTTAGCTGTTGGCACGGAGAATGTTGTTTTCCTAAAGTTAGTCATATTTGTCGACACAAATAATGGACAAACAGTTTGTATGATAACATTCTTTTTCGAATATTTCTCAGCGGCAAGACATTTGGCAAATTGAATAATGAATGCTTTTGTGGCGGCATACAATGTAGCATAAGGAAATACTTTCAAACCAGAGAAGGATGCAATATTGATAATGCCAGGATTCGATCCACCATTCTGTGTTAACATTTTCGGTAAAACGATACTTGTCATCAGCGCTGTTGACAGAGTATGACAAGAAATGATATTTCGAATAGATTGTTCATTTGGTGACTGAATTTCCCCGGCGAATAAACCGAATGGTATAATAATACCAACATTATTAACAAGACAAGCAATGGTGGATAGTTTTCCGACTTCCAGTTTGATTATTTCGTAAAAATCATCCTGAAGGAGATAGATAGATAGAGAGAGAGAATGAGGTTGATCACAGTAGATTATTCAAAAGTTATGTGAATGCTTAAATCTTTTTCACTATGATTCATTATATAACCACTATTTATCGTTCGGCAAGGTTGCTTACTCTCGCCCTTTCTCTTTCTCCTGGTCATCGACTGGATTATGAAGACGTCGACATCTGATGGGAAGCAGCAGCAGCCTCTGCAGCAGTAGGTCTCAACATACATAAAGGAAAAAGCAGATACCATCAGCAACAACGTACTGTGGGAGAGAACAAATCAGATTCCAGTGGAGGAAGAAATCAGGAAGAAGCGGTGGAAGTGGATAAGACACACACTATGACAAGCACCGAATTGCTTCACAAGACATGCCCTCAAATGGAAACCTCAAGGCAAAAGGAAAAGAGGAAGGCCAAAGAATACATTACGCCGAGAAATAGAGAAAGATTTGAGAGGAATGAACAAACATTGGACAGAATTGGAGAGGGAAGCCGAGGACAGAGTTGGTTGGAGAAAACTGGTGGGCGGCCTATGCTCTATTGGGGGTAACAGGCGTTAGTAAGTATGTAAGTACTAATCGTTCGAGTTCACATGTTTCCACTTAAAGCTTCAACGTGACCACAACTACTTGTATTTGGTACGCATGCGCGTCAACTAGTCATTTGATGTGCTTGAACTAATACGAGTTCACCTTAGTCAGTGAAGGAGAGCGAGGATCGATGATCCAGTGAAACGACAGGCAACTCTAATCCGAGTGTCCCGAATCCCCATTGAGTGAAAGAAGAAGACTTGATACGAAGCTGAACCTCTATTCTAAAAGCTTCCAGAAAGTACGCGGTCTGAGTCCAGAAGAAGACACGGATCCCGGACTAAAGATCCTGGTCCAGGTCCGGGTCATAAGACGTTACAGATAATGCTTATTTAAACATTTAGGTCGAACAGGAAACAGCATTTGAAGTATGTGACACGGATAGGAATAGACCAATAGAATTAGACTTCCAATAATAATCCTCTTAGGTAATTTGTTAAATATCCTAACAGAGCCCGACAATTGCATGGCATGAAATGTGTGTTTTCCTGATTTCGCTTACATTTTCAACCAAATGGTATTCATATTTTATCCGCATTCAGTTAAATAATCTTCTCATCAAATTATCCTAAACTGATTACTTTTTACTGCTTGTTTGTCAGAGTTTGTACCTCATCTAAGTTTGTAGGTAGAAATAATCGGTAATCGCATAAGTATACTGAAGCGATATCAGTCAGTTATCTTGTTTAACAAAATGAGATATAAGAACATTGTGATGATTTGTATGTTCACTACCTATATATATCTCTCTCTGTCGGTGCACCTGCGTACTATACATAGTTATTGGCATAATAAAACTGAACTGATTGCTATACACTTTCATCTGAAACGTCGGTATACATTGATGACAGTTTCGATCATGTGACTCAGAAGAGGGCATTTACTCTACTAACAATACATACCATCATTAGGGAAACCAGAAGCGGTCAAACTTCTCTAAATCTTTTCAAACACTACCATCGGGTGCACTAGCTAAATCAAAATCTCAATACTCATTTTAATCACTAGTGACTAGCTTCGTGAGGAAATTCTCGCAGTTCCAGTGAGGAGACGTGACCAATGGAGTTCAACCCTGTCGGGTGTAGGCAGTAACTACCAAAGACAAATGCGTGAGGTCACGCAAAATCACTAGACCAATCAGAGTTACACATTAACACCGTTGGATGCCGGTCCAGTGGTCAAATGGTTAGTCGTTCGCGCACAATACCGAAGGTCCTGGCTTCGAATCCTACGAGGTGCAGGAGTCGTGGATGCGCACTGCTGATGGGTCCCATACCAGGACGAGACGGCAGTGTTTCAGTGCTTCCAGGTTTCTAATAATCATCTATCAATGACTGATTGATGATTTCAAATTTATTCCAAAATAGTCTCATCAATAAATCAATCGGAAATACATTCATCTTACTTTTGTGAAATCTGCTACAACAATTCGTGTTTTCACATTGTACTCGTGAGATATTCGATCTGCAACAGACTTCAGTTGTTGTTCATCATTACTGATTAGCATGAGATTGAGACCCTCACTAGCCAGTTCTTCGGCATACGCCTCACCAATTCCTGCTGATGCACCAGTCACGATTGCCCATTCACCAGCTTTTCGTAGTGATTTTCGTTTGGAGAAATAATAAATGCCGACAGTGTATTTAAGACAGATTGTGAGTAGTTGTATGAGTTTGAAAGTTATCCAAGTGAGGATGAGTACAATGAGAAGATGCCACCAATGCTGTGTGATGCAGGTTATACCAGATTTCATAATCTAGATTGGAAAGAAGGAAGTTTCAGGGTAATTGAAACCTTACACAATCATAATATTAACAGATCACGGGTACCTTCAAATCAAACTATCTGCATACACTTCTGTTTTGTAGAGTATCTCTTTTCATCTAAATGATGTGATCATGAGGTATTTATTGTTTTAGATCACGTCTTCACCAGAAACTTCAGACCGAATTGAGTCATTTGAGTTACGACGCTATAAATGACTTGCAGCTTGTTCTTTCGACTTCATCTTAGTCAATTCTTGTTGGCCTTAAACATGACATTGTCTTGATACTGATTGCGGATATCTCTCCGCCCGTTTGATCAGACTCTTCGTTCACAGTGTTTTTACAGTTGTCTACTTTGGATGATATTGGCGCCGGTGTATCGTTTCATTTGATAGCTAAATAGTGTTTTCATTCAAGTGAAGATGAACTGTGTGCCTACATCATTCGATCTCGTGTTTCCAGTACTGATTTTGCATTGTTTAGTTAGTGTGAGAGATTTAGGTGTTGGTTTATACGTTACATCTGTTGCGAACAGCTTCACTAATCTTGGAATAACTGTCCGATATTTTCCTTCATGTCTGACAGCATGATGCTTCCGGTGGTTTTCTGTGTTCGGTCTTTTGTCGGGTTACAGATAAACTTTGCTCAGAGATACTTTCTGTTACACTTCTAGGTAAATATGTCGATTTGATATGCTTGAACTATTATGAGTTCACGTTAGTCGGAAAACGAGAGCAAAGATCGAGGATCCGGCGACACGATATGCTACTCTAACCTGAGTGTACCAACCACCAATTGAGTGAAAGAAGAGGAATCGATATGAAGTAGAACCTGCATTCTACAAGCATCCAGCAAGTACGAGGTCCAAGTCCAGAAGAGAAGCAGGATCCCGAACTGAGGATCCGGGTCCGGGTCCTAAAACTTTAGAGATAATGCTTATTTATACATTTAGGTCGAAGAGGAAAGAGCATCGAAGTCTGTGACATTGACAGTTAATGCGATCAATAGGAAAAAACATTTGAAGTGACACTGATAGCTAGGATGACTATAATATTGACCATTAGGAATCGACCGATAGAATGTACACTTACAAAATGATTCTTCATAGGATATTTGATCAATATCCTAACATATTCGAACAACTCACTTCCATATGAAATTCATGACGATGATGCTTCTGTTCAAAACTTGAATTATCTATCATAAAATAATTTATAGAATTTGAGTGTTATGAATTAAGTAGGAAATCTTATTCGTGGTCATGAATGAGCACAAGTTCTCACACCGACGAATTTCGAATTTGGAAGAATCACAATAAAATTATAACTTGAATCGAATTCCCATATGATACGGTTGGTTGTATAAGCCTACAAACATCAGACTGTCATGTGTTAACATTGATGACTGACTACCCGTCTCATTGATGTATTGATGGTGAGTTGCTTCTTTGAAACAAAATTGTATTTCCTCCAAACAAGTCTCAATGAGGTATAGGAAATAAATGAGCAGCTGTGTGTAAGAGTTTCAACGTAAATGTCACGTGACTTCTTCAATTATTCATCATGAATCATTGGCCGCGTAAATTCATCATTACGTTGGTGTTTTTGAAGCAGAGTAATTCAAATCAGTGTAAACAAACCCATCATACATTGAATTCCATCCAGAAAAAAACCTTGACAGCATATTAACAAACATTGATCAAACTTCAATTTGAAACATCATCAGCAGTATAAAACAAATCATCACAAAATCAGTATCTACGTTCAACTCTGTGTCAAGGTTTGTTCATTACACATAAGTGATCAATGAAATGAAAATTGAGATTACAACTTACTCTTCACTATTCACTCTTGAACACTGTCTTTTGTTTTGCTAATCACGTTGTCTGCGAAACAATTATTAATGAATTGAGCTGAAATGATGTTTTCAGATTTTATAAATGAGATGGTGACGTGCACCAAATCACGTATTCTCAATTCTTACATGTGAATTTGTGTAAATTTAGTCAAACCATAGAAAATATCTTTCTTCTACACACATGTTCATCAAATGACCAGCTTTGTTTTCTTCTCAAATGAAATGTGCACAATGAAAATGATTGGAAACTTACTCATTTAGATTGTGCATGAACATATGATTATAGTTTTTTGGAATCCAGTCCACAGTTGTACTTTGAAAAGTGATTGAGAGATTTCTTGAATAATATCATTCTGTTCAGCGCACACGTAAATACAAATGTACACTACAAAAAATTACACAATGCATAGCCAAGAGTTTTGTAAAATAAAATTCTGCTTTTTGTTACATAATCTGATTCGGGGAATCGTCGCTGTACATCAATGGTCGCCTACGTTTCTCTATACTCTTCGTTGATCAGTGATAACTGTGTAATTCCATAAGAAATGGTTTGTGTTAGGATATTTATCCAATATCCTAAGATAATTGTTCGTAAGTCTAATTCCATTGGTCTATTCCTATTGGTTGGCCTGACTATCAATGTCACAGACTTCAATGTTGTTTCCTGTTCGACCTAAATGTATAAATTCGCATTATCTGTAAAGTTTTATAACTCGGACCTCTAGTTCGGGATCCTGATTCTCTTCTGGACTCGAAACTCGTACTTTCTGAATGCTTGTAGAATACATGTTCTACTTCATCTCAAGTCTTCTTCGCTTACCGAATGGGGGTTTGGGACACTCGGATTAGAGTAGCATGTCGTGTCGCTGGGTCCTCGATCCTCGCCCTCGTTTTCCGAATAACGTGAACTCGTAATAATTCAAGCATATCAAAGTGACGTGTTTACGTTCATGCGTAACAGTTTGCACTACCGCATTATTGACGATTTCACTGGATTTCGACCAATCTTGAAGGCTGGTGAAGGTTGCCCTGATATACCCACCATGACAAAATTTTATATAGAACTCAAGACCGTCAGTGTCGCACACGAACGCTATTGGGGACGTTAGATCTCCAGAACTCACTTGATAAAGGTCCCAATTTTAGATTTTGTGTTTCCGCGCATAAGTTTCTCAGTTGACCTTGAGATTTCTTTAACACCCGGAAAATCCTTGACTGTTATTGGTTGATGTATTATTTTAGTACGCTCTTTTGTGCCTCTCCCAAAGAGGTTTTTTATTATGTATGAATAAACTCCATTTGTATGCTTGTCATCGTCATATTTTCTGAGTGCTCGTAGAATACACTCTCAACGCCTGAACAAGACTTTTTGTTGCAGTTATCAGGGCCGGAGACAATCGAATCAGAATAGCCTATTGTATCACTATATCGTCGTTGATGTTCGTTCTGTTTACCGAATAAGCTAAACTCGTTACAAAATTCAAGCATATCAGCTGACAAGCATATCAAACGGCTAAAATCTTGATCACTACTTAGTCGATATCCAACTATGTTCATGTTTAGCCTTAATCAATCTGGGTTTCCAATGGTGGTCTAACATTGGTCGATTCCTAAATTTTTAGGATATTCATCCAATATGCTAAGAGAATTATTGGTCTATTCCTACTGGTCAATTTCATGGTCGTCCTGGATACCAATGTCACGTGCTCCAATGTTGTTCCTTATTAGTTGTCCTGACTATCAATGTCACTTCAAATATTGCTTCCTATTGGTAGTCTTAACTGTCAATGTCACAGAATTCGATGATGTTTCCTATTCGACCAAAATGTTTAAATACGCATTATCTGTAACGCTTTATGACCAGGACCAGGACAAGGACCCGGTCCCGGATCCCTAGTCCGGGATCCTGATTCACTTCTGGATTCGGACCTCGTACTTTCTGGATGTTTGTAGAACAAAGGTTCTACTTCATATCACGTCTTCTTATTTTTACTAAATATGGGGGTTGGGACAATCGGATTAGAGTAGCATGTCGTGTCACCGGATCCTCGTTCCTCGCTCTCGTATTCAGACTAAGGTAAACTCGTAATAGTTCAAGTATATAAAGTCGATGTGTTTACGTGCAGGCGTAACATGAATCCAGTGAAACTCATCAATCCCGACAATCATATCATGACAGATAAAAACGCTATTTGTAATTAAACACTTACCACTGTGTATTGACTCAATATTGATTATGTTCGATCATGACATTGCTAGGTATAACATCAATCAATTTTTCTAAAGAAGTCATACTCGTTAGTTAGCCTTACAAACTGATATAATGATCAATTTTTCATTGACCTGATTCTCATTTGGGTCAAGCTTGATATCGCTGCTTAAGTGTCATTTTATTATGTTATGAATAGATCAAAGATCATAATGCGTAAAATTCATCATTCAATTAGCACTAAGTTAATAATAATCTTGATTTAAAATATTCTACTTATTGTGTAGTGTTTTGAATTGTCAGAGAGAATAGTTTGTTTCATGAAGAACTTCATTGTCCATGGAATGTTGAGGTCAGTAGGGTAATCGTAATGTTCCGCAAGTGTGCAATGATTTTTACAAACCTCATTGTTATTCCTACGCAGGTTCCGGAGGTGCAGAAAATAAAGTCAGCTCATTATTAACTTACTTACTTACTAACTCACTTACCTACTTAATTACTTACTTACTTACTTACTTACTTACTTACTTACTTACTTACTTACTTACTTGCTTACTTACTTACTTACTTAGGGCTGTTACCCCTAGTGGAGCATAGGCCACCGACTGGTGTTTTGCAACCTACTTTATCCTGGGCTTCCCTTTCCGGTTCTGTCCAATTTTTGTTCATTCTTCTCATATCTTTCTCTGTTTCTCGGCGTAATATGTTTCCTAGTGAGGGATTGTCTTGTGACGCAGTTTGGCGCTTTCCACGTTGTGTGTCCTATCCATTTCCGGCGCTTCTTCCTGATTTCCTCCTCCACTGGAATCTGTTTTGTTCTTTCCTACAATGTTTTGTTTTTGAAGGTGTCTGGCCAACGGAGCTGATTATTAAAACTACTGCTTTTTCATTACAGGGATATTGAACCGCTTGATAAATTAAAGTCTACTGACATTAGTCTAGTAACTATACCATCTAGAGATCTTATAATTCGAAAATAGGATCACTAGACTTGTATGTTCTGAGACGTTGAAGTAGTACTCGGAGTAGTAACAGTAGTAGTAGTAGTAGTAGTAGTAGTAGTAGTAGTAGTAGTAGTAGTAGTGGTAGTAGTAGTAGTAGTAGTAGTAGTAGTAGTAATAGTGTGAGTAATAGTAGTATAACATATTTCTTTTCGAATTAACACCCAAATCAGTATCACTATACCTTAGTTCAAACTAATGACTGGCTTTACGTCATCATCAGGAGTATACATACCTTGACTGCAGTTCATCTTTCCTAACATCTTGAATTTTGACACTTTTCTACTCTCCTAATCCCTACATATAACTTTCTGGAACTATTTTTGGGAAATGTAAACAATCCACCTTTCATTGGGATAATTTAATTTTAGTTATCAATGTTTTGTATACGCTCCTAGTTCATAACGTAAATGATTTGAACCAATTAAATCTCCCAGCCAATTAGGAAGGAGATAATGAAACTATAAGGTCAGAATAGAAGACAACGGAAAACAAACATACACACAACAACCACACACAGTTATGGATAACAACTGACGAAACTCCAGATCGACAGAATAAGCTATTACCTGGAATACAAAGGTTATTTATTGATTGAAATTCCTAAACTGGGACAACATCTCTCTCAACAGAAATGTCTACACGAAAATCCGCCAGTTGAAAGTTTCTTGTTCTGAGTTTTGCGTATATCTTTAATTTTGACAGGAGAAATTTTCCTCAGAAGTGTATCTACCTATAAAATACAAGCTACCACAGGAATTTCGATTTTGTCTTGCTTTGAAGTACTATTTACCAGCAGATTTATCCATCCCATCCTAAGATCACATAGATGGATACTATCAATCCTATATTGTGAACTTTTTCGCATGCACTTGATGAAGTTACATTGATCGGTTCATGGTTTCAAAAATGTGTAACTTAACAATCTTCACAACAACCCAATAATGCAAATTACCTGTGCTCACTAGTGACTAGCTTCGTGAGGAATCTTCTCCGAGTTCTAGTGGGAAGATGTGACCAGTGAAGTTCAACCTGTTCGGGTGTAGACAGTAACTACTACCGAAGACTGTGTATGAGGTTGCGCAACTCCGTGAATTGATCAAGTTAGACATTAACACCGCCAGATACTGGCTCAGTGGTCCGATGGTTAGGCGTTCGCGCACAATACTGAAGGTCCTGGGTTCGAATCCTGCAGGGTGCAGGAGTCGTGGATGCACACTGCCACTGAGGAGTCCCATACCAGGACGAAACGGTCGTTCAGTGCTTTCGGGTTTTTAATGGTGGTCTAACATTGATCGGTTCATGGTTTCAAAAATGTGGAAGTTACATATATTTTGAAATCGTGAATCAATTCAGTATTAGAATACCATTAGAAACCTGGAAGCACTGGACAGCCGTTTCGTCCTGGTTCGGGATTCATCAGCAGTACGCATCCACGACTCCTGCACCCTGCACGATTCGAATGCCTAATCTCTAGACCACTGAGCCAGTATCTAACGGAAATAATGTCTCACTTGATGAAGTTTTTGATATTACTCGATGCATAAATACCCTGTCTTTACTTTACTAGGAAACTCGATCCAAATAACTTTTTTACCTGGTTAAGAAAACCTTCTAAGTATTCAATTTACACCAGAATGAAAAAGTCGCTACTTTACACTAATCTCTATAAACTTTTAACTGACTATCCCGTATCATGAATTTTTTTATCCGTTCACTGTTATTTTCAAGTCCTAAGCTGGGATAAACTCTATCCGAGGTAGGTTTATTTCCCTGTAATCGGTTATTCTTCAAGCTCTCAGTAGACTACTTTCGTAGATCAATTAATGACAGTCGACCTATCAATGGTTTGTAATGAATGTCATATGTGTCACATACATCTTAGCGCTGTGCAGATTCTATTGATCAAGTTGCAATATGATCAACAATGTATGCGTTAAGATCTAAAACTCCGGTTGGAGATAGTTATCAGGAAATTCCGAACCTAGATTAAGAAGGATCAGACACGTAAGACATCGGTCACTAGCCTGTGTGAATTAACAGAAACTGAATTTCGATAAATTTTTCTTTTAACTACTAGATAATCACATTAAAACAAATATCTATTACGAAATTGAACTCTTTTACACTTTTTAATGTACAAATTTTACTACATAAATATCAATTTTAGAATTCATAAAATATAAGTCATTAAATCAACAATTTTCAAATACATTCATTCACTCGACATTATATACAATTTGTAACCAAATCCTACAACTTTTTGTTCATACAATTTAACTACTGATATAAGTTTAAGAGTAGTATAAATCAAAAAAGAGAAAAAAATAAGTCATAAAAAAAAATAAACGGTATTCAATTTATCCACAAGAATATCGAGATAGTTGTAACGCAGCCAATTAAAATCATTGAAACTTTCAATTTATTTACATGATTACAACCATTAAAATCATTACAATAACAAAAACGTTTAAAATTCATATTTTCATCACTAAATAATCCCATTGCTGTATCGACTAATGTTTTACCTTTTAATACTCCTAATAAATAATGTTGATAATCACGAGAATTTACACAGTAACCATGACGACGAAGTTGTGGCATATCTAAACGATATTGTGTATTCATGATAAGATCACTTAAACAACCACGAGTAACAGTAGTTTGATCTGTATTTTGGAAAATGGAAATTAGTGAGATTGAAGGGTTATATATCATGATGAATGAACATAGGATTTGTTTATCATAGAAAGCGGGAAATGCTTTTTAAACACTTAAGAAAAACCTAGTTATCTAACCAGCTAATGAATTTGGTAGTATGTTTATTCAGTTGATAGTCAGCTAGCTACCTTGACGTGGTGGTCGGGCTTGCCTATCGTGATGACCCAACCGAGCTATACTGCCTGGAACATATGTTCCTCAAGGTTCTACCATGCCAGACAGGTCGATTGGAGAACGATGAGACTAAAAGCAGCTACTCAAGGTCTGAGGGCGAAGTCGTACTGCTGACTGTGATGGAGGGGTGTGACACCAGTAAAGTGTTGCCCTCGGACAACAAGCAGCATCTGCAGCGATGCTGCCTTCTGACAAGAAATGAAGGGTTAGTAAAGGTCGGCCCTAAAAATGTCACACCTCCCCTAACTCACGGATTTCCGTCTCCTTGGGTAAGGGTGCCCACTAAGGGCCTTTAAGAACGGAGCTAGTCCTCAAAAAACCTTTAATAAAAAGGCCGTGCGTGACCGGCCTCAACCAGTTGTCCCTTGGGCTCTGCGGTCACGTACCAACACTAATCTATCTTCCTTTTCAGGTTCCTCAAGAAACAACCTTCCACGGTGTGGGCAGCCGGGAAGTGACAACCGCCCTCATACCCATAACAGCACGCGAGACCGAATTGGTCAAAATCAAATCCTTCCTACACCCCCTAGTACCTCTCTTATCTCCACGACTAACTCTTCTCACATTCATTCATCACAATGCACAGCTAACGCAGACGATACGAGTTCGCGAAACGTCGTTCCTGGTCTCCTTAAACCTCGCTCTAGACTACATGTTGGAGCATTTAATGTACGGACATTGTGTCAAATAGGGCAACAGGCATCATTAGCTAGGACTTTAGAAACTCGTGCCATCGATGTATGCTGCGTCTCGGAAACGCGCATACAGGATCCGAGTCGCGTCATACACTTGGCCACACCATGTCAAAATAAAGAAGCAGCTCGATTTACTCTTCGTGTATCCGGTAGCCCTGATGCTGCTTCCCGGGGTCTTGCTGGCGTAGGCATAGCATTGAGTCGTAGGGCAGAACAATCTCTCCTTGACTGGATCCCTGTAGATAGTCGATTGTGCGCTGTCCGACTAAACGGGACAGTAAAGACTCGGAAAGATAGGGACAATCGCCGTTGCCTCTTCATCGTATCTGCCTATGCCCCCACTGAATGCAGTTCAGACGAGGTTAAGGATGAGTTTTACAGAAAGCTCTCGGACCTCCTCCAAAAAGCTAGGCGCTCTGATATAGAGACATTGAATGACATGGCTGAAAACCGTTTGCAGTGGCGCCGGTGCATTTATGCTTTGTGTTCTCCCAAATCCTAATCTTCTGGATTCTTTAACACCTCTAGTTTTTACTTTCTAAACTTTTCTCACTGAATCATACTTCTTGAATAATATCTTCTAATCCTAACCTCTCGGATTACTTCTAATACCTTTACTACCTCTTCTACTATTGGATTTGAATTGACAATTATATCTCTGTGCTAATAATGTGGTATGGCGACATGAACTGATGTACTTACGTACGAAGTTCTACGTTGCTACTGACTGACTGACTGATAGTCAGCGCTTTCAATCTTTGTCATTTCCTGAACATTAATGCATGTAGCTTCAATAAATGCAAACTATGAAATCATAGTTCCTTTAGGGGGATAATGTGCATCAAAGTCACATAACACAGTCAGTTTTATTATAGGACATTTTCCACAACAACATTGAAACTAATGAGCCACAAAATAAACTTTGCGATTTAGTTTTAACTACTTATAAGTAGTATAGTACTTTTCCCCTTTTTTCTTTTTGTGATAACACTTAAAAGGTTGCTCGAAGACTAAATGCTTCCATATGATAACTTTGACATATTTGAACAGAATTTAGTTGTCTCTTCTTATTGTACAATTTTCTAGTTATCAAGGAATACATTTTCTTTCCTGAAGTTTTTAAACAAAGTTACATTTCCTTTTAAGTTAATGTCATTCCGATTTCTAAGCTATTGTACTCACTTTCAGATTGTAAATAGACAACTAGTGTGATCGATCAACCGAATAAAAGCAGAGAACGCCAAAGCACAGCTTGAATACACAGAAGCAAACAGGTAAGTGAAGAAGAGCATCAGAGCTAAAAAGCGTAAATCTGTGGAAGATCTGGCTGTGACAGCAGAAAAGGCTGCAAGAGAATGAAACCCGAGACAGTTGTACGATACAACATAGAACCTCGCTGGAAATTATCTTAAACCAGAATGACTAGTGAAAAGCGAGGAAGGCAAAGCAATCACCGAGAGCCAAGAACAGATAAACAAGTGAGTGGAGCACTTTGAAGAGCTCTTGAATTGGCCAGCCCCACTGAACTCATCCAACACCAAAGCAGCACAAACGGATATCCTAATTAGTTTTAACCCACCAACAACTGAATAAATCATCTTGGACATCAGATAAATCAAGTGCAGCAAAGCAGCAGCAGACAGCATACCAGTGAGGCAATGGGAAGCAGACATACTATTAAGTACAAGCAAGTTGTACGCTCTGTTCAGGAAGATTTTGGAAGAAGACCAAGTTATAACAGACTGAAGAGAAGGACACCTCACTAAGGTTGTAAAGAAAGATGATCTCAGAAAGTGCGAGAGCTACAAGTTAGTCACTCTACCCTGAATACTAGGAAAAGTCTTCAACTAAGTGTTTTATTACCCATCGAACGATTCATAAGACTCCCAAGTTTGAGATCACCCAGCTGGATTCCGCAAGGATAGACCATGTATCGACCGGATCGCGACACTAAGGATTATTGTGAAGCAATCAATTTAGTGGACTTCACCACCACAAATCAACTTTACTGACTTTGAGAAAGCATTCGACAGCATGGACACAATAGCAACGAGGAGGTGTCTTCAACATTGTGCAGTGCTTGAGAGGATAGTCAACGTCATTCGGAATTCTTATGATGAACTAAACTGCAAGATCGTGCGTGGAGGTCAGCTGACAGACTCGTCCGAGGTGAAGACCGGTATCAGACAAGGTTGCTCACTCTCACCCTTCCTCTTTCTCCTGGTCACTCACTGTATTATGAAGACGTCAACATCTGGATGGAAGCACAGAATACAGTGTACTGCCAGGATGCAGCTGCACGATTTGGACTTCGCAGGTAATCTGATTCTTCTATCTCATGCGCAACAACAAATGCAAGAGAAGACTACTAGTGTAGCAGCAGCCTCTACAGCAGAGGGTCTCAACATGCACAAAGGAAAAAGCGAGACTCTCTGATACAACACAACATTCACCAACCGAATCACTCTTGATAGAGATGCCTTGGAGGACGTAAATACCTTCACGTATCTAGGCAGCATCATTGATGAGCAAGGTGGATCTGATTCAGATGTAAGGCAAGGATTGGCAAAGCAGAAGCAGTATTTTTACAACTGACATCAAAGTTAGAATATTCAACACCAAGGTCAAGACAGTTCTACTATATACGGGCGGAAACTTGGAAAGCTACAAAGCAATCATATACAAGATACAAGTGTTTATAAACAGTTGTCTTCGCAAAATACTTCAGATCCGTTGGCCAAACACTATCAGCAACAACGTACTGTAGGAGAAAACAAACCAGATTCCAGTGGAGGAGGAAATCAGGAAGAAGCGATGAAAGTGGATAGGACACACACTACGAAAAGCACCGAACTGTGTAACAAGACTAGCCCTCACTTAGAACCCTCAAGGTCAAAGGAAAAGAGGAAGACCAAGGAACACATTACGCCGAGAAATGAAGAAAGATATGAGAGGACTGAACAAAAATTGGACAGAACTGGAAAGGGAAGCTCAGAACAGAGAAGTTTGGAGAACACTGATCGGCTTTGTATGCTTCATTAGTGATAAAAGGCCTTAGTAAGTAAGCATATACATGTAAAATTCAATTACTATGAATAATAACGGAATGAACAACATACCTTGAACTTTTTCAATTAATTTTACACAATAATTTTCGATCAATGTTCGACCGGAACATTTTTTCCAATGCATTAATCTTACATCGATTGGATCACCGCAACCTGACTGAGCACTTGAACATGAATAACAGTATAATTCAGCTGAAATCGTTTCTAAGATAGAAATACAAAAGAAACATTTGTAAAAATTTAGTTATACTTCTTCAAAATTTATTCATCTAATTGAAAAAGTAACGTTGTATGCATCAGTAACTATTGTGACACTGTTTGAGCTACACAAATCGAAATAATCAAAACAATAATAATGGCTATATATTCAGTATGATGGAATCTCAGCAAAGAAATATTTTAACAAGTTCTCTATTCATTGTATATTTTCTGTCACTGCAATATCTCCGAGTGTACTTTTTTGTACTCTGTAATTTAAAAGTCGTAAACTTTTTATCAACACAGCAGTAAATCCAAAGGTGAAAGCAATAAGTGAATGTTTTGCAAATATTTTTCAATTAAAGCTATACTATTCCATCTAAATTCTTGACTCTTTCATCCAAAAACACAATGAAGATGATCTAAGTGCAATGTTATATTCATGTTCTTTGGTGACACTCGTACATGAATGATGGATATTTACCGAATTCTGAAAGTGGTTCTGAGGATCACTTGGTTAAGACAAAAGTTTCATGCCATCTAATTCTATAATAATCACACAGTTTCTTAAAAATTCAAAGTAATTATTAATGAAACAAAACTGTTTGTGCTTGTTTAATTGAAATCGGAAGTCTGTAAGATAGTGAATTATTCAACAGTGACTAGCTATGACTTTTGGTTAAAAGCTCGACCTGCTCAATATTAGATAACTAAGTAAGATGGCTCGATCTCTTTTAAGAAATGCGACATTTTCATGCCCGTTTACACAAGGATCAGTAATAATGAATTATAAGTTGTAACAAGTCGTTTTTAGTCTGTTCGTATTAAAATGTAATACTGAAAAGCCACTGAGTAGTGGCTTGATATCTTAGAGATTCACGAAAATTCTTAAGTATAACAGCTACTTTTTATTAAAATTTGTATTTTAAAACCACCCATTATTTATTTATCATTTAGTATAAACAGGAAAACTAACACAATAGTTTCGTTTCCGGTTTCATTGAAAAATGACTTGCTCTTGTTTAAAAAAGAATTTAATGAACTTATTCACCTTAAAAGCTAGTAAAAACAATGAAAAAAATAACTAACCAGCCGCTAGATAAACTAAACAAATAATAAATATAACATTCATTAAAGTGTAAACTGATGTTTACACTTTCATAAATTTGCCAATAAAAACTACAGAGTAAAACAATATCAAATTATCAATGTCTAATATTTCTAATTGCCTGCTCTTCATTTTACATGACTGGTTACAATCGAGTCACCCTAATATCCACTGAATCTTCATATTTCCGATTCCTTATGCTTTGTGTTTTTGTTATGTTTCCTATAGATTTTCATAAAATTCTCAGACATTGAAAATATGTATATTTTCACTTTTATCTAACAAGTCAGTAATGAATACCAGGCAGAAGAGTGAGTCTACGATGGCCCTTTGTAAAACTCCTGATGTTGAAACTTGACAGCTTGCATGCACTCTGTTTACCTTGGTAAGTAACTTTTTCTTGGGAGCCAGGATAGAAGTGGATCAGTGAAGCCTATTTCGCAACCTTCACAGGTATGGGTGCGTGAGGTACTGCATCGAAATGTTTTGCGAACACAGGCAATATTATATGATGACTGGAAAAGGAGTGGCTTGTTTCTATCCAACTGTAAGTTGGTGCTACTTCCGTGGATGCATGTACTGGTCACTCATAAGTGAACTCATTGCTTCTGCATACTGTTTGCAGGGCGAATACTATCACATTCTATTGACTTTCTTATGTGCAATCACTTTATTTTTTTCGATGCTGTGCCAGAATTATGTCGGATATTGCCCGGGCTATCACCTGGCACTAGGTTTGCCCAGTATTCTTAATTTGTAGGTGCGAAGTTTAAGCGATTGGTGAAGTTGGTATTAAAGATCCCGCACATCTCGAAGTTAGTAAACTCTGCTTTTTTAACCTTAGAAAAATACTCTGGTTTGTAGGGTTTTATTCAGTTGCGAACGTATACAGATATTTTGGGTTTGCCTATATTTCGGAATCCCTCAGAGAGACGTTCCACTTACGCCAGGCTCTCCTTTTTGCCAGTGGCAAGCGTTCGCTGCCTGGCTCAACCCAAGTTTTTCTCTTTACCGGTGTGCGATGCGCCTGAAGCACGTTGTGTAGGACAACATTTTGAATGATTTCTCTCACTGTTCCACATTGTTCATTTACAATTGGCTTCCTCCATTCTCTTTGCCAAGGGAGGTTTATAAGATACTCCCTCATAGTCGTGTCGCTTGTTAAGGCTTAACAAAGTTTAGAAGCATTTTCATCCCTCTTGTGTACTTCATTTTTAACCACGTTGCTCATGACTGCGCCACGGTCACCACTTCCTATTGCCATGTGGACATGGACATCCTCGATCAGGAGCTGATTGTTAGTTGTCAAATAATCTAGTCCATCTCATGACGTCGCATACATGCTCAATCAACCCGTAAATTCTAGTGACTTTGACAAGTAGCCTGTGAAGCGGACTTGTGAGAGTTGTACAGTGTTTGCTGAGGTTTAGGGATGTGGTGTTGAAACCTTTAGCTAAGAGTATTAGGATCAAACACAAGGGTGCCATTTGCAGTGAGGCGCACCTTAATTTATTTTTTTAGTCCCTCTAGTCAGGTATTTTGTGCCATGCCCGCTGAAACAGCACCAGCATGATTCTGTTACTTCCGTTATTTGGGTACCGTGTTGTGTTTCTGCTGTCAAATTATATAGCCACTCCACCTCGTTTCTTGCGTACCCGACTGCACCGGAAGATTTTGGTGCGCTGCAAGCTCACTTCATCATCTGCAATATCGAGGAATAGCCATATTACAGCCAAGATTACGTTCTTCGTATCAGTCTGAGAGCACATATTCTTGATCTTTAACAGCTCACCCTTGGTTCTCTTGCGTTGCTCTGAAGGCCTAATCACCGGCTGCCCCTCATCAGCAACAGCCATTATCGCGTGTTTAAACGAGTTAGCAAGTTCTGTAGGTTTCTTGCATGTGTATTCACTCGGTGAAACCTGATCTCCGATTCTGGTGTTGAAGTTTGTCGATCGAAATCAACTAATGTTTGCGTGTGCTTAGTTTGACCTCCCTGTTTTCGTCTCACTTGTCATTATGGGCTCTCGCAACATCTAGTGTTGCCAGAGAGTTAGTTTTTCATGTTGTGCAAAGCCTGGAGGGGCTCATTTAGGTCTTCTCAATTTCTGAGGTTCACAGCCATTTGATGTGTAGTGTCGGTAGCCGTGTGGTGTGAAGGACGAGGTAGCAGGGATACGCTAGATACCATGGTGATTTAAAGGCCCATGCTACGTGTTATGCACCGTCACTGTTTCCCAACATGTGCGCAAGCCTTATCCAGGCGACCACTAACCTGCTCAGGCACACCGTGAACTGTAATACTGGGTTATTCTCAGAGGCCTTTCCATGTCCTGGTAGCTGCTCGTACTGATGATCGTTCGCCGTGACTGATTCTGATTAGGGACGACAATTTAAACAAGGAACTCTGAGATCTTATGAGAATTTCTTCCTTTTCTTGCACCGCGTTTAAAGTTACCCTCAATGGTTAGGGTTTCTTTTTAGCGACGTTCTGACCACGGAACATAAAACACTGTTTTGCCGGGGTGCTGCTTATTCCAAGCATTGTGCAGTATCTGTCCCACTGTCCTTTATCAAAGACGGCCTTACTTTCCAGTGAGCCAAGTTCCTATATTGGGAAATTAAATCAAGTAAGCGAATTTTTCTAACGCCCTTGTCCCTGATTTGTAGCGTTTATCGATCTCTGGTGTTACCCTTTCCATTTATTAGACGCACATAACTTTCCGCACTGTTAACAGATACTAGAGTGTTTACCATAACTCCTAGTTTCGTCAGTGTATTGGTCCGCGATACGGCTACCCTTGTCACCTGTTTGGTTGGTTTATTTCTGGGCCAATCAGGTTCACTCATGGGTTGGTAGGTTGGTTTTAGATAAGTTCTGTGTCTTCGTTGTGGCTTTGTTATTTTTCTTGTCTTAGTGATTCTGCACTGTGGTCAAAGGTATCAGAACCTCGGACATAGGTGACTCAGAATGAACCGTTTCACAGAAAACTTGTCGCAGACATTAGAATTTACCGAGTAATTGGGCACATATGCAACGCCAGTCAAAATATCGTGTTGTGAACATTCCACGCAACGTGATGCGAACAACCTACATTCTTACCGGAAGTGTCGTCAGAGCTCTGTCTCGTTCTCATTCTCACAGTAATGTTAAACATCAGTTCAGACTACATAGGAGATGCAGCCATGGCAAACTCAATTTTTCATTCGACGGAAGGATAATCCACATCTGTTTCTAACCCTCTTTAAAACATACGCACGCCACACCTCGAAGTTCGCAGAGTTGTCGCTTTTTATCTTCTGAAAAGAGACGTAAATCTCCTGGATTGAATGGCGAAACGGGCATCTAAATGGGTGATATGTTTGAAAAATGACCATGCGGAGATAGAAACCAACACGACTCTTAGTCTGATAGCTACTGAAATCTTGTAACCCTGAGACAAACGAACTCGACCAAATCACGGGACATACAAGTTCATAAAGAATTGTCAAGTGGCTATAATTAGTGAATCTAGCTTCTAGACTACCACCCACTTCAGATTATCGAACACCTAGGACTGTATCGAAGGAACTAGAAGCAAGAGCATAGAAACCAACTTGTTTATTCTGGCTTATGAAAAAGATATGGGATATTTTAAATTTTTATGTATCAAGTGAGCACATAATTTCCTTTGAAAAATATGTTATTTTGAGGGGTTATTCATGTCCAAACAGTTAAAGGCATTAACATTTGGTAATGACCAACTTGGTATTTATCGTTGTTTACATGTTTTGAAAACTCCATAACCTTGTGAGTTCATTTTTCATGCCCAGATATCGATCGCAAATGCTACTAGCGCTGGGTTTGAATGTCTTTTAAATTTCGGGATATGAGTAGTGTACAATGTACTGATCAAAAAAGCAGGTAAGTATTTACTCCGTATTCAGCCTTTTTTAAAATCTAGCGGTAGCGATAGTAGCAGTACTGGAGAGGAAGAAAGACTCAGACAATTATTTCTAAGCTGTGATTCTAATAATGATGGATGCTTAAATTGTGAAGACTTGTACGATATGTGTAGAAAACTTAACATGGCAGAATGTGCGGAGGAAATTATAAACACGCTTGGGGCTAATACTAAAGGGAGCATAACATTTGATGAATTTCTTAGCTGTCGAGAGAAAGTTTTTCAAATGCAAACTGAGGCGGATAATATACATTTCACTAAACCTGATTTAACACATCATCAAAATTATAAACAATTAGGATATAATTGGTCTGGTAAATCACATGCAAGTGTTCCAAATAATGGGCAAGAAATGAATGAAAACTCTATTCGTAAAACAAACGAAAATATCAATCTCGGAAGTTCTGCAAGCGAAACCAGCCTTGTTAACTCAGGTTAGATTATACAGACATTCTGATGTTTTACTATTGAAAAATTTATTTATTACATCACTCTTCTGTCAAAAATACTTATATTGGGTTGCCAGAATTCTCACTGCTTGGTAATATAAAAACGATCTCATCCAGATCATGAGTGAACTTAGTTTTTTATGAAGTAAAAAGCACCATAAAGCTGTATCACTACCCGTTGTTTATACATTCTACGAAGAGTTTTAACTCTCATCTAACGAAGGCCTCGTCCATATTGCAGAAAAGTGACTGAGAACTAATAGTAAAGTGTGATCAAAGTATTTACTGCGAACCAGTAATTAGTTTGTACTTTACTGACATCAAATCCCTTGGTTTACAATAATCTTCAACTTAGATGCATGATATCATTGTTGAAATGAATAAATGTTGAGAGTAGTGACTAGCTGTGATTCTCTCAACCGATTAGTATCATTAGACACCATAGCTTAGACAACAAGTGCTATTTTAACTACATTTATTGACCGCATCACGTTTTAGTTGCCAAAGACCGTTTGTATAAACTTTATGGACTGAGAACTTTATAATGTTACCAATGTCGAACAAATTGAAACTTAATTAAAAGCTTTAAAAAATTTAAATAGTCATTTTTCGGGACAGTTAGTACAGTTACTGTATATTTGGGTAAACAAACATATACGTAACAACTGTTTTATGTAAAACCTTATAACCTGAAGTCTTGACTTTTTTTTCTGTTATGAATTGTTCTGAAGTCGATTAGTAACTG